ACTACAAAACTCTTTGAATTGCGCTAAAACTTAATACAACAAATTCAAAACTCCAAATCAAAGCTTCCTATGAAGAATAATAGGAAATTACTGTTCCCAAATTTCCTCTCTCTATAACCTGTTAGCTGGCTCTAGTCTCCTCCTAAACTGCTAACATAAGATTTTATAAGCTAAGATTTCAGTTTCACAACTTACAAATGTTTTATATTTAGTAATGAAGAAGTCTTTAAGTAAACTTACTTTAGCGCATATATGCATGTGTCATATGTATATATTTTATATATACAATATAGTATTTTTAACTCAGGGGATATTTTAGCTATACTAAGAAATACAAAAGAACAATGTAAGTAATACTCTGATATAGCCACCATTCAGTTTACCAAAATGTTTCAAACATGTAAGGGGTGATTGAAAAATACGATGAATGTTTAGATTTCTTAAGAATTTATGACAGTAAAAGCACGATGTTATTAATCTCCCTCAAAATATGCCTCTCCCTTTGAACATATTTATCCTGTCATTCTTCCCAAAGCCCTTCTGGAAGTCCTCCTTCATGAATATCTCTAAACTGTGTGATCGAAACTTCAATGAATATTGCTGCTGAGTGCCATCCAACAGAAAAGCAGACTCATAAAAGCATTAGAGTGTCCTCATCCACCTGATTCTCTGCATCTAGTGGAATGCAAGCTATGCATAGAGTAGAATGTAAGACCTCCTCAAAGTCAAAATAACCATGAAAAGTTAGCATTTTGAACTGATTCAGTCCATTGAGGCAGCCATGACACAAACACTTTCCAGTGAAGTGTTTCAAACACTTCAGAAAGCGGCAAGAAGGCTGGGATTAATGTGTTGGAAGTGAGGGAGAGTACTGGGGAGGGAGATTAAGGGTAATGTTACTTTTACTGTAATACATTTTCAAATTTAAACACATACCGTATTTTTAAATTACACCTCCTACTTAAAACTGCATGTCAGTCACTCTAAGATCTCTTTCTACTCCTCCCTCCCATGCACATAGTGATCATTATGCTGAATTTGGAATTTATGAGGCCCATCTACACATCTGTAGTTATTCTGTATCTCTACGACTGTTTTTCAAGCTTGTATAAATGACACTGTACTCTACCTATCTATTACGATTCAGATCTAATCTCCCAAAGTTTCACATTTGAGGGTGGGCCACTGTGGATACAACTTGGGTATATTCTTGCCCCCAGCTCCTCCCTTCTCTTTCTGCTTCTTGGTCACCACATGGTGAACAGGTTGTATTTGCCAGGTAGTTCTACCATGCCATTTCTGCCTCGAAGCCATCTGAGCACGGACCGAATCCATTGAAACAGTGAGCCAATTTAACCCTCTCTTCTCTTAAACTGTGGGAGTTGGATATTTTGTCCCAGTGCTGCAAAAGTGACTAATATGGTATGGTTCTGCTGTTTACTTATTTTGCTCAATGATTTTCAAAGGTTTTTTAGTGTTAAAATCTTCATGTAAAGAAACTTCTAGAAAAGTTTCTAGAGAATCTCCAGAATATATCTAGAGTAGTTCAGTTGTTAACTTTCCTGGTTAATGCCAAAATTGTTGAGTGGGTTATAAAAATCTATATCCCAATCAGTAAGAAATTAGGATTGACATGCCTCTAACATGTTTATTAACAAATCATGTTGTCAATTATATAAATTTTGGTTAATCTGTATATAAAATGGTATGTCTTTGTTGTCTTAAAAATATATGTTTAGTAAAATATTAGTAGGGTATCATACACTTTTGATAATAGCTATTCAGGAAGCTAAGGCAAAGGAGGATCACAAGTTCTAGGCTAACCTGGGTAACTTAGTGAGACCTGTCTCAAAAACTTTTTTAAATAAAGGGCTGGGAATGCACTTCAGAGGTAAGCACTTGCCTAGCAATGGCAAGGCCCTGGGTTCAATTTCTAACACTGTAAAAAGAACTTTTTTAGTAGACTTTTGTGATTCCTCTTTTGTAAATGACCTATTCATATGCCAGGCACAATTTATGTATTTCTTTTCTTAAAGATACTTGGGAGTCATTTCTATATATAGTGAATATAAATCCTACATTGATTGAATATGTTGCTTATTGTAATTTATTTTTCATTTGTTGTTGCTATCTTTTATACCTATTCATATACTTATCTTTTCTAGCGCTTAATACTCCTTGATATACATTCAAGTATCCATTTGGGGTCTCTTCCCTTCAGCCTAGAAATTTTCCTGTAACATCTTTTTGTACTGAAGGCCCACTGGCAATTATTTCCATTTTCATTTATCTAGAATTGTCCTTCTTTCACCTGCATTTTTGAAAGATACTATCACTGAGTACAGAACACCTGGGGTTTTTATTATTATTATTATTTACCACATTCATCATTTCATTCCATTTTCACTTGGCTTCCCTCTGAGCAGTCGCTTTCTGTTATGGAATGAATCTTTTCTTTAGCTGCATTTATGCCTTTTCTTGCATTTTTGTTTTTCAGCAATTTTACAATGCAATAAGTATGATTTTCTTTGTATTTATCTTGTATGTGCTTTTTTGAGCTTCTTAAATGTGAGGGCTGTTTTTGTTGTTGTTGCTGTTGGTGGTGATGGTGATGGAGGTAGGTGGTGGTGATGGTGGTGGTGGTAGTGTGTGTGTGTTTTATCAGATTGAGATAATATTTCGTCACTAATTCTTCAAATATTTAGCTTTCCTCTTCTCCTGGGGCTCCAAATGAAAAGCATTTAAAACTGCTCAATGCTGTTTCACAAGTCACTGAGATTACTAATTTATTTTTTAATCTTTTCCTTTGCTCCAATTTGATTTCTACTAACTTGTTTTCAAGTTTATTGGCCTTTTTTTATTATTATGCCCTACTTATCGACCATCATCCCCATCTGTTGATATTTTTTATTTTAGATATTATAATTTTCAATTCTAGAATTTCCATTTGATCTGTTTCAGTTTCTACATATCTCTATATAATTCCTTCTATTATCACTCAATATAGTCACTTTTTCTTTTTTTTTTTTCCTTTCAGCTTGTCACACTAATGAAACAATAAGATGTTTACCCAAGTGCGTCTTATTCATTTCCCTAATGAATGTGTTCTCCAGGTGCATCCATTTACCTATCGTTCTATGTGGCTGAGAAGTACTCTCTTGCATAAAATATGGCATCTGTTTTATCCATTCCTCAGCTGATGAATATAGTCACTTTTTCAAGCAGATTCTTTAGACAATTTATTGTTATTTTATGTCCTTTCCTGATAATTCCAAAATTTTTGTTGTCCATGGATCTATTTCTATTACTGGTATTTTTTCCTGATTATAGATTCTTCTCTATTTCTTCACATCTTCACAATTTTTTATGGTGTACTAGACATTTCAAGTACATTGTAGAGAGTTTGGATTCTGTAATGTTACACTTGAGGTTACCAAGTTTGGTTATAACAAGCAAATAAATTATTGCTGACTCATTTTGATCATGTGAAAACTTGATTTAAGTTTTATTAGGGTAGCTCTGTTTTGGCCTTGTTCCTAATTTTAGTGTACTTTCCTTTATCCCAGGATGTAGTTTCTGTCCTGAAGGCTTGGCCACTTTAGAGTTTCACTGGGAAGTTCAAGTCTCTCTGACTTGATGGTTCAAACTCCGAACTGTCTCCTGTGCAGTGACAGCTGTAAAAATCTCTCTTCACCTTTGTAGCTTAACAACTGTTGTTGTTGTTATTGCTGTTAGTGTGTGTGTGTGTGTGTGTGTGTGTGTGTGTGTGTGTGTGTGTGTGTATACCAGGGATCAAACTCATGACTTTGAGCTTGCCAGGTAGGCACTTGGGCTACTGAGCAAACCCCCCAGCCCTTCCAACTGCTATTACCCAAGGGTTCCTTTGAGTTTAACTGGGCACATGTGTACCCCAGGGATTCACCAAGGATTACAGACAGATTTGGGGCTCTTTCCTTTGTGACATCTTCATTAGGGGTTATCTCACTCAACTTCCAGATATTGCAGTAGTCCCAGAATGATTTCTTAAGTCTATTAAGGCTATGACGTCCTGCTTAGGTTCTATCTGGCCACACCATGCAGTCCAAGGAACCCCAAAGGAAAAGCCATTTAAATATGGATTTTACCCTCTGTGCTGTGCTTTATCCAAGGATCAAAACTTTTCGTTACTGACATCTTTCAGTCACTCTTAACTTTTTTTTTCTTTTTTAGTGTTTTTTCAAAAAAATATAGTTGTCATTGGCAAGATCACCACAACTGAATATCTTCTGCCTATTCCAAAGGCCAGTACTTTGAGGAGCACAGGCACATTTCAACACAGCCTACCCTTCCTACTCATTTTTAATGGGGTCTTTAAGCATCGTTTAAGAAATCTTTTTGTATCCCAAAGTCATAAATATAGTTTATGTTTATATTATAGTCTAAAACTATCTTTTTAAATCATTTTTCATATTTTGATTTTTAATTCACTTAAAATTTTGCCTAGACTGCTGGGATTACAGGTGTGGGCCACCTGTTATCTGGTGGAGGAAGTCTTTGCACCTTGCTTTTTTCCAAAATTGCATTGCCTATTCTAGACCAGTTAGTCTTTTGAATGAATTTTGGAACTGACTTGACAAATCACATAAAAAGCTTTGCTGGGAAGAATTAACATCTTTAACACACCAAGCCTTCGCATCCACAAATTCAGTATATTTTCCCATTCTTTCAGTTCTTTAATGTCTTTCTGTAAGTTTTTTCACAAAACTTTGTTATTTATATTACATGGTTTATATAGATTATCTTTTTACCCAATTTATCCCAATTTTCTCTGCCATGTTAAATTATTTTCATCAAATTAGGTGCTAAAGGTATATAATCTCTGATTTCTTTCATAATATTTAAACTAGTGCATACTACTACTACTACTAATATTAATAATATTTTAATATTCTGATTTGCACACAATTTTTCATGGAATGGATTTATCGAGCAAGTAGCGTACTTGTATCTTCTGTACTTACCAAGAAGCTCCATGGTCTCTACTTTCAGTGTCAGTGAAATTAGAGTCTAAAAACATGTCTTTGTAGATTCGACCAACGAGGCAATACATATCTGAAGCAACTTGTCCTTTGCTTTCCACCATAGGAATCATAATATCAAGTGCTTTTGCTCTGTCTCCAGGGAGATTTCTCCTAAGGTAGAGAACACTATTGTTTTCAAAAGAGATCATAAAAGCAAGAGGCAAACTATCTTTCTCAAACTCTCAATTAATATATTGATTCACATGAGTGATGTTTGGCAGGACCAAAACAACAATTAGATTCTGAGAGTCCTCTGAAGATCTGTATTTTAAGCACTTTTTGTTTCATCCTATTGTGTTTCTACATGGTCTTAACAAGATTCTCTTTTGAGTTTCTTGTTTGACCATGATGATAGATACATTTTCACTTTCTCACCCACAGCCCTTCAGTTTCCCTGTGGCTTATATGCAGGTTCAAGTTGATGAAATGAGATTAGGAGTCAATTATTCCAAATAGGAACAAATCCCTGATCTTATGGTTCAATGGGTTTTGCTCCAAAACACTCAGCAAACTTGTTCACAGATAATACCAACACCCAAATCTAACTCAAGGGCTGCCTAATTTCTTCTACATGTGACCATTTCATTATCTAAAGAAATGGCTTAATGCAGCTCATTTTTAAATAATAAGTGCATATAGTTCCCAAAACCAGACAAAAGTTTCTCTGAGAGTTTTCCTTTCTTGGACTGTAGAAAATTATGCTATGTGAAAACGTTAGTCACAAAAGACACACACTGTATAATTCCATTTATAGAGCACCTAGAGTACACAAATCTACAGAGACAGAAAGTAGATTAGTGGTTGCCAGAGAGCAGATGTTTGGGGAGAAGTAGGAGAATGATTGCTAGTTGGTAGGCAGTTTCTTGCAGGGTAATGAGCTGTTGAGGTTGATGATCATACAACTCTACTAATATTTTAGCATATGTGCTACTGAAGTGAGCACTACAACTCTATTAATATATTAAAAAGTCACTGAGTTAAACATTTTAGGTAAACCATATGGCATATGAATTAAATTCAATAAAGCCACTACTTAAAAAGTTATCATCTCTACTCTGAGGTACTACTTCAGATTTTCTGCTGCCCCCAAATCCTGTTCTCCTCTTTGTACTAAACATCTTGAGTTTAGAGTACTGCTTCATACAAATAAGCTTATCATTTCATTATATGATACTCTGGGAAAGTGAGAGGAAACCAACTAGAATTGTAAGAGGCTCTTGTAAATGTTTACTTTTAATTTCAAAGCATAACATAGCCCATTCCACATTTTGAAAAATGATTTTCTGCAAAGTCAGTAATAGGCAATCTCTAGAGGCCTCATCTAAGTCAATAGATGAGGAATCTAGGAGATGTTCAATAAATGAGAAGATAAAATGAGCTTTCATTATACAGTTGTTGTTAAAGGTAGAGAATCCTACATTTTTGGTAGAAAATAAGAAGACAATCGCTGGTTGGAGTGCTGAGGCAAAAGAGTCTAGTGACCAGGACCACAGTCTCTGCTCCAGGAAGACCTAGGCTTGAGCCCTAGTCCAATGGCAAGCTCACGGGGAGCTTTCTGACACAGCTACTCTAACCTTCCAAGTTGCAGGTGCCTAATCTATAAAACAGTCAAGGCTTACATGGCACATGGCAAGTGCTCCATAAATGCGTTCCCTCCCTTTCTTCGTGAGTCTCTACTGGCAGTGACACATACAGTCAACTCCCATACCGTAGAAGAAAATAACAAGACAACTAACTCAGCTTTGCACAGTTCAGTGATCTATTCCTCTCCCTGACCAGAGCATGGAGTGCTCCCCTTGGTGACCGTAGGCAGGAAGTAGGCATCCTTAATGCAACTGAAGGGCAGAGGCAGAAAGTGACAGTGTCAGCCTCAATCCTAGAAGATTCATGGGCACATAATCTAAAATGTGACCAACAGAACAATGATTATATTAGGCTTGTTTAGGGGAATTCTGAACCAAATATGTTCTGATTAGGAATACAATTATCCTTTCCCTGCTTTAGTTAATATTTATGTAATCATTTAATGCTGAGTATAAAGTCAGCCCTATATATCCATAGGTTCTGCATCCTTGGATTCGACCAAGCACCGCTCAAAAACTAGAGTTTGTATTGAACATGCACAGAATTTGTTTTTTATGTCATTATTCCCTAAATAACACAACAATTGTCATATTCATATAATTTTTAAAGTTTTTAGAAATATAAGTAGCAGATGCAAACTTCATCACAGAAGAAAAAGAACTATTGAATTTAAATATATAAACAGTGTGAGACTATAAATGACAAGCAGAAAGAAATCAGAATACAAGATCCTTGTATTTTACCAGACTGAAATACATATGTGAATATCATATTCTAATAGGAAGTTGCTGCACAGCCACGAATACCCAATAAAAATGTGCAGGTTGAACAACGCATTATAACGGTGCATTGGGGAAGGGAACTTCTTCTTCTTACCTATTCAGCGCAAATGCATAATGAAACTTCACATGGTGATGGGAGGCCAAATCAAAGGTTGGCAGTTTTTCTAAAGTCTCTACCAGCTTCACAATGGAATCATAGTCCTTTCAAATAAGAAGAGAATGGTAGAGAATTAACCCAGGAGAAAGTTCTGATAACAAAATGCCTGTGTCAACCAGATCCAAATCTGAGAAGGGAATTAAATGCAAAGTTAGAGTTGATGGGATATTTTGAAAAACACAGAAGAAACTGCTGTTTTTCTTCTAAGAAGTTTGCATTGTATGAATGAAACTGTTAGAAACATAGCATCATGTTTGACAAAAATAAAGAAAACAAGAAACGAGCAACAGGATGGTAGTCTACTGTTCATACATGGGTGGTTCACTCCTCCACAAAGCCACACTCTGGCCTGCAGTGCTCTGCCTATTACTTTCAGGGAAACAAAGCATTTCAAGGGCAAAGAGCAACTGACTGAACTTCTATGACAAGCAGTAAACAGCTTCATATCACATGAGTCAGCCCCTCTAGCCATGGGCCCTTCATGGCCACAGCTCTCCAGGTAAGTGAGCCTCTCTAGCTTTCCACAGATCTGAAAGGCTGGAGTGAAAATAAGAAGCCAGAAGTCATCCACGTTTTACTATTAAAAACAATAAATAACTTAGGATTATCTTTCTTTATGGCACAGTGGTATACCACAGTGTATAAACAACATGTTTTCTTTATCTACTCATCTGCTGATGGACATATAGGCCCTTCCGAGATTTAGCTCCCATGAATTATGCTGCTATAAACATGAGTGTGCAAGTGTCACTGTAACGTGCAGTCTTTAACTCTTTTGGGAAGACATGCAGGAAAATGCATGGACTTTGAGATCATAATGTTAAGTGAAACAGGTTAAACACACAAGCATGAACATTACATGATTTATCTATGTGAGGAACCCAAAGTATAAATAAAGAGCAAAATAAAAGTAGATAATAGGAAGTAGGGAGATAGAGCTTTCTCAAAGGGGAAGAGGATTAAGAAATGAAGGGAAGGGAGTTGGAGGGGAGGGAAAGGGGATAAAAAAGGAATACATGCATATCAACTCCCTAAAAGGAATATAAATGTCGTGTGCTACAAACATGCATTAATCAAGAAAACGATCCGGGAAAAAAAGTTAAAAAAAACCCTAATAGTAAATCTCCAACTCTAAGAACACACTTTATTTCTATTTAGCATATTTAAAAAATTCTGAGGCATGTCATTAAAATATAATAGTGTGTTAATATGCTTTGGGCTACATTATTTTTAAGTTACTTTTATAATTCATCAAGTACAGACTTCTTGCTTCTGGCTAGTAAGATTCAGCACTATCCATTTCAAAAACACAATTTTGAGAAGTAAAAGATACGTCCAAAAAGCTCTAGGAATTTTCTGTTATTTGTCAAAACAAAGCTTTCATTTTATTGAAAGGTGTGCCTGAGGTTAACAACAGAACGGATTATCCCTGTTAGTTGCATGAACAGATTTTTCTTTTTGTTCTTTTGGAGGAAAAGTCTAATCTTCATAAGTATTTCACAACCTCTGATGGCTAACATATATGAGTCTTTTTCATTGATCATAAAATCACAGGACATGAAACTTAAACAAGTCAATCAACATGCAGCAACATGAATTCCTTATTAGCAAACTGAAACTTTATGTTAACATTCTCTTATTTTTCCAACAGGCTACACGACAAAGATTTTACTTTAAGCATCTTCTCACCTGTATATCTCTGTAGGAAAGCAATAGATTGATGACAATGTCTGCTGTCAAGACTTCAATGTTATCTACTCGCTGCCGAATTCTTGTCAATTCAGCTGCCAATTCTTTACCAGTGTATAAATTTCGAGCTTTCCTGATATCATTCAGTATAGATTCCCGGAAGTACTGGCTAGGGAAAAAACACCTTTCAAAGCATTAATAATGTAAAAGATTGACAAAAGACTTCAATGACAAATAGTAATTTTAAAAGGAAATAAATGACATTTGCACATGAGTATTTTTCAACTCATTAAGATGCACAGAATGAATATCTCATATATTTGGCATTATTAAGAAATTTGGAAGTCCATGTATTTAATATACTGTCTTATTTCAGAAACAACTGAAGACAAAAGTATTCCATGTTAATGAATCCTCCTGCAATATGCCACTTAAAAAACTAGAAATTTTTTATTATTTGAGTGTAAGTTGTCCTAAACAAATTAGATGTGACTATAATCTAAACACAACACAACCTTTACTTCTGACTCACTATCAACATTAACACAAATAATTATTCTTAATTAAAATAGATTCTCAGCAAGTTTGTAGAGTTTGGGCTTTAAAAGTCCCCAGCCATTTATTCTGACATTTCTGTACTTGCTTTTCATATGCATTTTTAGCTCTATAAAGTAGTAAATAACCTTTTGGGGGAGGGGATAGATGTCAAATTGTTCTACAAATAAAATGAGTAAAATACAATACATGAACTATATGACATTGTTTTTACCCAATTAGAGAATGTTGTACCATCTTTCCTGGTTGTTGGCTGTGTGCTATGTCTGGGGAATATCACATAAGATATGCAAATGAATGAAGAAGAAGATTTCCCGGTCATCACCAAGTGGCAGTATGAAACATTACCTGGAACTTGCTTGCGCCACCTTCAAAAGCTGGATGAACCGGTCCATGAGTGGTAAGCAGATGGGCCCCAGAAGCAGCTCGAAGTTGGGCTGCATGAGCTCCGTCAAGCCCTTCATGAAGCTGCTGTCACAGCAGTAGACCTTATTATGCGGGCTCACCATGTAAGGGATAAAGGTATAGTTCCCAGTGCACATCTGTGGAGACAGAGGTACCAAGCCGTGAGGATCTCCATGAGTAGTATCTCACCTGGGGGTGTCACACCAACAGGAATCCCAGATCCTTCGCCAGTGACTCATTTTTTTTTATTATTTATTTATTTAGTGTGTGTGTGTGTGTGTGTGTACACCAGGGATCAAACTCATGACCTTGTACTTACCAGGCAAGTGCTTATGCTGCTGAGCTAAATCCTCAGCCCAGTGACTCATTTTATATAATAGTTCTGAATGTGAAGAGGAACAGAAAAAGGTCATTTCTTATTTATGACCCATGAAAAGGAAATTTCTCAATTTCCTTAATTACTTACTTTAATATCATAAATGCAGATGATATAAAAAATAAAAAGTTTCTACCAATCATTAAATATTTATTCACCATCTTACATGGGTAAGGCACTAAAGCATGTGTTGCAGGAAAAACAGAGCAGTTAAAAGCACAACCATCAGCCTTCGGGGAACTGAAAATGTAGCTGGTGACACAGCAAAAATACAGTGCTGGGAAATACTAAGAGCTATGGTTCAGTGGGCTTCCCTGTTCCAGGCAGTGCAGGGCATGGGGCCAGGACACAGCAGCTCTCTGAGGCATGGCTACCCTTGCATCCCGGTCACCGAAACTACAGACCCAGAAGTTAATCCTTGATGTCTCATTTTCTCCTATCCATTGTGCCTCCACAGAGGGCATCGAGTTTGTCCCTCTGCTGCCCTTCTCTCTGCCAGCACTAATAGTCAGTCCCTAGCATGCCTGGCCTGAGCCTCTGTGTTTGGTTTTAATCGGTCTCCCTGCTTCCAGTCTTGGCTTCCCCTTATCCCTGCCCATTCCACCTTTCTAAGGCCCTGTATCAGACTCCATGCAGTAGCTCTAGGGAGGAATCCCCGGGACAAAGATGAGATGCTGTACTGTAGTGTACAGGGTCCGGCCCTGTAGATGCTGCCTTGAGAGAACCTCAGCTCATGTCACTCTCTTCTCACGCACTATGCCCTGGGGTCACTAATCTACCAGTGATGATGCCAACAAAAACACTGCTAGGAAGAAGACTCTGCAAGTCGCACTGAACACCCAAGGAAGCAAATCTGAACTAAGTTTAGGGCTCATGGAAGGAAGGCATTCATGAAGACAAAGTAAAGGATTTTAAACAATTATTCTGGACAATGAGGAACCTATAAAAGGGTCACCATTGTGGGAAGAAAAACAATCAAAAATGTGCATTTTGGCAGTCAAGGCAGAAACCAGGCAGAACTGAAAGAGAATTAAGATTTAAAGAAATTAGCCAGGAAGTAATATAGCAAAGTCACATCAGTAACAGTGGCAATGTAGAAACGGACATATGTGCTCAACAGTTAAAAGAAAGAATCATCTGGACACAGTCAGGCCACTTAAAATGGGGTTATCTCAAAAGAGTTGTAATATTAACAGAAAGAAAGAATTCACAAAGTAGAGCTAGACTCACTTATAAATATTTTGCAACTTGAGGCACTTGTCATATACCACGTAACAGGAACAAAAATAACCTGTCTTCCAGTTAAGATATGAGAAGAACTTCCAAAGGTTGAGATGTGTTTTGGAGGAGGACAGGGTAAATCTTTATTTCCAGAGAAGACAGTATTTAAAGGAACTGAAAGGTTGGGATTCAATACAAAAATTTCTAAAATACAGTGGGAATATAATTTTAATATAAGAGATTTTAGGCCAAAATACAGACCTGGGAGTTATTTGATATGATCAAATCAAAGGAAATGGGAGATAATCCTAAGAAAAGACAGAGAAAAGCAAAGCAAAGGGCTCAGAGCCAGCATGGGAATGTGGCAAACCCTGTTATCACCATTACAGGAACACAGAAAGTCTAGTGTCCACTGTCAGTCTGGCAGGCATATGAAGACAGCATTTCTCCTACCCCTGGCACTTAAATCAGCAAGAACAAGCATTTATTCACCACTTCTCTCTGCCACCATATGAATGGTCATAAGTTCACTACAACCCACTGAAAAAGACGCCATTGCCTCTATTTGACAGAAGAGTAGACAGGCTGGTCTATGAAGTGCCTGGGATCCAGCCTAGGGACTTTCGCATAGATATCTTTACTTCAGGGGTTAATCACCATCCTACAAGGCTCTAACAGGTTCCTATCACCTTTGACAGGAAATCTGAAGGAGTCAAGAGACTGCTCACAACAAACAGACAAAAAAAATGAAAAATGTCCAATGCTTTTATAGCCAGCTTTAATTATTGATGAACACATTTTGCTTTGGGGCACTTGTACATCAGTAATGAAGCAGAAACAACCTTGACTGCCAACTAATGCATGAAAAAAAGTTCAATGGGTTGAAATTAGACTTTGAAATCATGTACGCTGCTGAATTGTTCCTGTCTCAAGATCTTCATGCAACAATGATTGGAAGACTAATCCAAGAAGAAAAAAAAGAAGTGTCCTGCTTTTAAAATGTTACCAAGATCTCACAGCATGCCAATTTAATTTAATCCTTTTACCAAACCACTGCCAAGCAGAAAAGGCAAGGATATCAACCAGGTTGTTCTCTGCAGCCTATTAATGGAGGGGAACCTGTGGCATGCGTGCTACATCAACCAATTTATTATCACTAAAAGCTCTAAAAGATTCACCATCACTGAAACTATGCATGAGTTACAAAAGAATAGAATCAAATACCCTTGGATTACTCACAACTCTAAATCACAAGACAAAATGCTTTGAATTTTCCAAAAAAAAAAAAAAAAATGAGAACAAATGAAAAGTCAAAAATCTAGAAAAATATTACACTATGTTAGGTTTAGAATATTATTCTTGTGCTGCTTGGTAAAGTTCTATTCCCTTAAAAGCTTTAAAACCACGTGTACACTAGTTGAGTATAAGATATGAGTTATACGGGACACTGGGTCTGCATGAAAGTATTCCGCAAGAGAGTGATTATCAGATGCTTGGCAGTGGAGGAGTAAAGGGAGGAAAATAAGAATCGCAAGAATAACAAGAGAATCAGCTCTTGAAATAAACTCTAAGGTAGAGAATCCTTCTTGGAATCTGAAATCCTTTAGGACCACTGTTGAAGATATTGTAACTAGAATCCTTGTTAAAGCTTCTGGCCTCGCTGCACAATTTAGAGTTTCTTTTCAATGCTCCTGAGGCAATGATTTTTTTCCCTCAAGTTTCACTGTCAATGTCAAAAGGTCAGGGGTAGGGATGGCAAACTGCAGGACACACAACTGGCCCAAGCTGAGACAGCTCAGGCAGTACACGGTATGGGAAAGTGCAAGAGTTGGTTCTGTTGTACTTTATTTTTTAGAAAGATATCAACTCCTAAGAAAGCATTTTTTTTTCAAAATGAAAACTAATAATATGGGAACATTTATTTCCCTAGATGGCTCACTTAGAAACTTGACTGCCGCACTTTTGATTTACATATTACTAAACACACAATTTGAAAGAGAGGATAATCCAAAGTAAATAAAACAATCACTGCGTGATAAAAACAAACATCTCTCAGTGCACGGGAGGCTGCGGCAGGAGGATCACCGCAAGTTCAAGACCAGCCTGGGCTAGTGAGTTTGAGGACAGCCTAAAGTATATAGTAGGATACTGTCTTAAAACAAAAACAATTGCATCAATTGCCTTTTATTAATGTATTATTAATTATAAAATATTCAAATCTACTTTTTGTAAGAGAAAAGAACACATTTCCTTAAATTTCCAAACAGTAAGGCATGGTCACAAAGCAACACCATCAATTTTTCTGGCTAATGTTGCTTCATGTCTACAAAATCCCACAGCTCAAGATCTAGTTTTATTCCAGCTGATTATCTTCTGTATTTAAAAAATAATAGTGATTCTGTTTTCCAATTTTTAAGAACTAGGTAGAATTGAACATAAACATTTATGGAAAATGAGTTAAGCTTCTGGAAAGAAAAGCTCTCAGCATTCAAACATATTGGAAGAGAAATGTAAAACATTCGATTTGCTGAAGGACACTCAGCACCTGGAACAGGGCTGCTTTCTCAAGTCAAGGGGTGACTTGCTCACAACGCATCACACTCAGTCCTCCTAGCGAACTACTTCTACTCATGTCCAGTGCGACTGCTTCTGTCCTGCTTTTGGGGGTCAGGTAATGCTACCTCCCTGTAGGACTTGGACATAAGGGGTACCCACTCTTCAGCACATCACTTCTGGTTAATTTCCTAATTTGTCTGTTTATATATTTGTTTAGTGACCTTCTCCCCTAATTAGATGCTGGCCCTTCCCCTTTGTTGTCTTCTGGGACATGGGAATGTGTTTATTTCTTTTCTCGAGCTCTAGACCGAGGCCCCTCTGGCACCACGCCCAACTGTGCCACACGGTTCATGGTCAATCATTACCTGTTGAACAAAATTTGTTACAGAGAACTGGAGCATGGAACAATAAGTGCTCATTTCCTTTTGAGAGACGAAGGGTAAGAGTTTATAGTGGCAACATTATCTATGATGCCTTGAGTCTAGCTCTGGTGAAACCTTAAGCACAAGTTTTAAAATTTTTGATCTCAGTGCTCACTTCAGCAGCAACTACACTAAAATTTCTGATCTAAGAAAAAAATACCAATTATCACCTTTAATAATACCATGTGTAGACTTTCTGTCATATATTATTTTCTTTTAAAACTGCAGAGATTGCTAAATTGCACTTTTTAAATACTCTCTTACTTTCCAAGATGAAATAGGAAACCATTTGCCTAACAAGGGTGTTTCTACTTTAATATAATTTTTCTTCATGCATTGTTTTTTAAGTTTAAAGTTTATTTTTCTCCCTTATTCATGTTTGTTTAATTCTGGGAGGCTAGAATTATGTATCATAGTCTAAAATGTAGACTATAATACTTGAGAACTTAACCCCTTTAAGTAGAAGATAGATCATGGACACATATACCGATACATTTATTTCTATACACATGTATATATAGATTACATATTCAACAGAAAATTGAAATCACACACATACATATATGCTGTTTTCTTGCCATTCATAATTCCACAACATTGACTATATCACCGAAATGTTTTTTCCAAAATAAAACTACATATAGGAAAAAATCAAGTGTTAGTGTAATCTATTCCTATAAAATAGTATTTAGGTAAAATAACAATATTTATATTGATGTGTAAGAAAGTTGAAAAGGATTAACAGATATAGAAATTAGTAACTTGTGAAAAATTTTTTAAATACCAGAGATCAGAAGACAGAAAAAGAAAAGATTTAAGAATTTCTGAAAGGTTAAACAAAATACTCACAGTATTCTTCTGGCAGATGATTTCCTGAAAAATAAGAAAAAAGGCATAGCAGAAGTTAATATAAAAATCAATTAGTTCATTGATATTTATTGAACTATTCTATTTGTGGTATTTTGTATTAACAATTATATTAGCAATTAGAAATTCTAGAGAGTTCAGAATAAGTTTCTGCATCTGAGAAGTTTACAATCTGATGGAAGCGATAAAACACAGCAGTTTTGTTTGTGCCTTAAGGAAAACTGCACAATCATATGAAATCCCAAAACTGAACAACCTAAAAATCATTTCTGCAGAATATGTAAGCAAAAATTACCTGATCTGCTATATGCTCTATGGGATAAAAATCAAAACAAGTTTGCTCCCTCTAAGCACAACCTCTCTCATGTCCTGGAAAGGGACAAGGGAATAGAGTACTGGTCACTGGCAAACCTACCATAGATAATAAGAACATCTGACAACAATGACCACAAATCTGATTTGGATATTTTTCAACAAGTGCAAAAGGATAAACACACCACGTGGGCAGTATCCCTGTCTTCTAGGTTGGGAGGCTTGAGGGAGATCATGGACATAACCTAGCTCTGCAGTATCTAATGCATAGAAAGCTCTCAAAGCTCTCCAATATTCCTAAATGCTAAAATAGCTAGACCTGGGGAGACAATCTAGAAAAGCCTGTAGCATAAGCCTTCACAGTGGTTGAGGGATCATTATTTAGAAAAGAGAAAATGGGACAGCATCCTGTAAAAAATGCTATCTATGTTGTCATGGAAACTGTAGCATCAGGCATTTGTAGAGCCTCAAGGGTGGCTAAGGAAACAGGCTAGATCTGTCAAGGTGAGAGTGAAGCTGCCGGCCCAGCTGACTGGCCAGCACCGCTCATCTCAGGATCAGAATGTGGAATCAAACACAGCACATAAAGGGAAACCACCAAGGGCTCTAGATCAGAGTGCAATGCAAGATTTTTGAAAATTCAAGAATAACAGATGAGAAAACAAAACTAGTCTATGGCCATACCACCCTGAACACACCCTATCTCGTCTGATCTCGGAAGCTAAGCAGGGTCGGGCCTGGTTAGTACTTGGATGGGAGAGAAAACAAAACTGAAGAGGAAGAACTCACACTACGGAGTGTTAAGAGGCATCAAGATGTAAACAAGATATTAAAAGGTACCCTTCAATCTCTCACAATCCTACTGATACAAAATAGAAAATGTATACAATTAAATGGAACCATTATAAATCTGAAGGACATGCATAGTGGGCACACATGCTAAACGGTAAACAAGCAACACAGAAGCACGGAATACAGAAGGTGTAGCACAGGCTGAACTGTGAGGACAGACACAATACCAAAAGCAAAGCCAGAAGGTGGGGATGCAGACTAGAGATCTAGTGAAAGCAAACATCCATTTAAGGACCAATAAACATTAACACCAGGACCAGGATGCAAGGAAGACAGTTCATTTGGGGATGCACAGAAGAGAATTAAAGAGGTATCTGAAGGAGATCTTGAATAGAATCACTGAGCTAAAGCAAAAAGTTCATTTTGACACATATAAATGATAAAATGAGAAATTCATTTGTGGTCATTGTGAAGAAGGTTTTCAATTCTAAAACAAAGTACTATGTTCAGTGAGCCCTTAGAAGCCACAGTGTTTTGTAAGATGAGTGATTTGTATAAAGAAATATCAGCACATGTGGGCACACTGTAAAAGCAAAGGCTGGAAACAATATAAATATTCATCGTCTAGAAACTGGTTGAATAAACTATGGTACCTCCATACAGCAGGCAGCCAAACAAAGAATGAAGTTCTTTTTGAAGTACTATGGACCATCTCCACTGCTAATTGAGAAAAGCAAAATACGGAACAGTTCTTATCCTAGATTCTTGTTTACGTATAAAAAAGGAGAAAAACAAAATTCTAACTTTTACATTCAGAAAATATGGGTGGTAGGTCATGCAAGAAACTAATAATAGGAGTTGCCCGTGGAGTCTGCTGGATGTGCAGGGGATAACGATGAAAGAACATTTCCCTTTTGTAGTTTTAAATTTATGTATCAGATGAATGTGAGACCTAAGAAAGACAAATAATTTTTTTTTTCTTTTTTGAGGGCATACCAGGGATCGAACTCACAACCTTGTGCTTGCCAGGCAGGTGCTGTGCTGCTGAGCTAAATCCCTGGCAAAGACAAATAATGTTTTTTTTTTTTTTGGTACCGGTGACTGAACTCACGACCTTGCACTTACCAAGTAAGCACTTGAACTGCTGAGCTAAATCCCCAGCCCAACAAAAATGATTTTAAAAAGTAATCCTTGTTAAAGTTTTGGAACTACAGATTAGATGCTGTTTAGTCTTTGAGGAGAAAAAGGTGAGGACTTCAAAAGCTCAAAGACATCGTAATAAGAGGCTGGACAATGGCAGCACTCAGAGAAATGGAAAAAAAGGCGATGAGGTCAAAAGTGGCTCTTCCTACTGTCTCTCAGGGAGTTAATACCTATGACACACATATACGACAATTCGTACAGGAACAGAAGAACTCTGGATAATCCCAAGGCCAGAAATGCAATGTACAGAATTTTTCAAAGTTGACTGATGGAGGTTCTCCCCAAGTAGCAGACCAAACCATTGCAGATAATTGCTCTCTTTTGACAGGAATATCTTTCTCATGTCCTGCCCAGTAATGCGGAAATGCTCTTCTTTGCATCTCTTAGCACAGATATCTCTGCTCTTTGTGAAGCAGGCCTTGACTGTGTTGAGGGATATCTATCCTTCCAACGGAAGGTAGACAGTGCCTTCCATTTTGCCCTTACCAATCCTCGTAAGGACCTTTGCTAGCACTTCATAGACCACCCTACAAATTTTTGTTCTTATGATCCTCCAACCTACATCATGGGCTCCTTGCCTCTTGGGTTCAAAGTCTATGAGTTTCATTCATAACTTGTATCTGTACCAATGGCCTAGCACATATTACAGCCTATAGTATGTATTCAATAAAACATGAATAAATTAATGAATGTAAAAATATACATCAGGATTTTTGCACTATAAGGTAGGGTAGGTACATAAGTTCTGCTCTGGTCCCAACAAGCAACATGCCATTCCCTTCTCTCTAATACAGTGCACTAACAGTGTTGGACTGAAGGGCTTTTGGTCTCTTCCAACTCTCTACTTGCTGTTTGCATTTGGTTTAGGGGCCATTGTGATGTGTTATCCTTGTGCCACTGAGGTGGCACCCTCAACCTCCCCAAATTGTCCCTCTTAAGTGCATCAGGCACAGAAATGGAAGTGGCAGGAAGAGGAGTGGCAGTGAAGACTGAGGAAGCCAGAGGTTCTAAGGAAAACCACCACAGCTGCTGGTGGCTTACAGCCAATATGCTGTCTTCCTGAGGAACTGCCCGTTGGAGTCACTCTTAATTGTCTCTGCTGCTTTCATTTCAGATCGTGCGTACATGATAAGAAATTATATAAAGTTATTCCTATTGCAATCTATAGAATCCATGTTAATTTATGTTTTGTCCAAGCTAAGTGGATATAAATCATTCCCTTGAAGAAGAAAGACCTTACTCACAGCTTATTATGTAACTTTAAATGGGGCATTAACTTTAAGAGAAGAAAAGGTACTGTTTGTTTATTTTAACTCAGCCAAAACATATAGCAAACAAGGCCTCGATGGGTTATTTACTGAGGCAGAACAGAGAACATTTAGTTTGTATTAAACCCACTACAAGGAGTTGGGATGAATTAAAGACATAGCCGCTAGAATTCATATCAGATCATGGAAATTTCTCAACAAAAGTGCCTCCAAGAAAAATGACAGCATCAACATAAACTCCAGTTTCTTGCCTATGAAATAGTTCTCAAGATGCAACAACCCACTATGACCTTGTACTTGTCTGAAGTATTAGGGAGCTTTTGGTCAGTCCATCTTTGGCTCTACCAGCAATATCCAAAATTGATTTTTCTATTTTCTAGTCTCCTTTGATAACCAAATAATCAAGCAAGACAAAAGAGACATCTAGTCTAGGTCTCATCCCAAGAGAGGACAAAGACAACTTTAGATAGCTATTTGGGATAATATAACTTTGAAAAGAATGTAACAGTAAAGAAATGGGTATTTCCAACAGTAGAAAGTTTTTGTGTCTGAAGCATAGGCGATCACAGCAGGAAAGGAGATGGGAGCAGCTGGTGTGGGGTGGCTAAGTCAATGCAGACTTGGAGAAGCACCACTGCAAGGAGGACCTCACTTTCCAGAAGAGAGAGGGGCACCACCAGCATCTCTGGCTCAGGGAAAGAACATGACTCCTGCAGACGGCCTCCTGCGTCTTCCTTCCGGCCTTTCTTTCTATGCCACTGAAATTTGCAAGTTTTCTGTTAAACTTGAGGTAAAGAGGGACATTTCAGGCACTCTCCAGCTCCAATCTCTTACTTAATTTCAATGTTTCAAAGGTAAACATGAAGTTGTAAGCACACACAGTTTCACTGGGGTGAAATTCCCTTTCCCCACTTCTACATCCTGCTGAAATAAAACCCAGCAGGCTCAGGAAGAACAATCCAACATACAGAATGCAGAACCACAACACAGTCTTTAAAGACAAAAAACCAACTACATTTGTGTTAATGTGTTCAACATAAAACAGAAAAGCTCAACATAAAACAAGTGAGCAAACAAAAAGAAAAATAATATACCAGAAACCATCTACAAAATAATCTACCAAAACCTCATCTTTTTAGAGAATATATAAAATCTACGGGCAGATTTAAAGGGGATATACCTAATCATGGGTGAAAAAAATATGGTACTCATTACTATCTTGACAGTTAGCAACTACATGTGCCTTTAACAAATTGCTGTATTTCACTGGGCTTACTTCTCATCTATAAAGAAAATATTTTCATCTGTCCAATCCAGACAATGATTACTTAACTTGTTTATTTCATTTGGGTTATATGTTAAAACCAAATGAAATAAGTTTAACCAGGATATATTATTGGGCTGTGTGTTAAGACCAAATGGAATTAGTTT